ATTTCTATTTGCAATGCACATTTTTAAACTAAATTTAAAAAAATAATAATAATGAATAAAATAAGAAACGAAAACAATAATAATAGGTAAAATAAGAATATAATGATTCATGATTAAATATGAGAAAAACTACTGAATTTATGTATTAGCTACGGGTGAGATTCGAACTCGCAACCTTTCGCTCCACAAAGCAGCGCGCTGACCACTCAGCTATCTGTGATAGCGGTACTCGTGAACAATAATGTAAGAACTAAAAGTCGCTGCAAAGGTAATTTAATTAAATTTCAATAAATGATTGCTGTATGACACAAGTTGTAACTTTTCTCCAAAATTTCGTGATTGTATTTTATTGAATACTCTTTCACAGTCAACTGCTTTATTTTAGAAGATGTTATATTGCTGAAGTTAGTTTTGGGTGTATTTAATATTGGGATATTTATAGAGCTTTTTATTACACATGATATAGCCAATATTTATAATAATTAAGGATAATTTTGTAAGGCAGAAATTTTGATTTCGTAGAAACTGTAATTTTTTTAGGTTCCTATTACTTACGGTGTTATAAATAGGTGAAGCATATATTGGTCGGATCATTGCTTTATAAATATACAGTTTTTCCCTTTAATGAGAATTTTAAATTTATACCAATATATATGGTTTGAGAAATCTGAAGATGGAGTGATTATTTTATTGCTGTATACACTTATGATATTTCTAAGCAAAAACTCATCTCTGTGTGGTTCTGACGCCATATTGAAACGGTAAGCAAGAAGGTTTTCTGATTATGACACGTGATAAGAACTCGGTCGGCTATTGGACGAACGCGCGCGTCGCGGGCGAAAAAGCTGAACAGGAGTGTACTCAGTTTTACGTCTTCTGCGTCATGCGAATTTACGCCGGCGTCAAAAAAGTTGCGTCAACTACGTCGGGAGCGTCCTCGTGTGGACGGGCCTTTATTACTATCCATACCTGCTAAGTCTCCATGTGTTACCGGGAGAATGTCGGCATTTCATCATCTCTCGCAGTCTCCCGGTTCACCACCAAATCTCCCGGTTTTTAAATTCTAGCCTTTACTAAAGGAAATATTTCCTAGTAATAAATAAAATTTATTGAACTAATGAAACTTAAATTAAGCTAATGAAACTTAAATTAGGCTAATGAAGGCAAATTGCATCCTCCCACCTCTAATGATTTTTAGAATAATTTTCTTTTTAGATTTTTTTCATTTTATTACATTTTTATTGTTCTTATTAAAATTTTCTTATTGAATTTCTTTTGACCTCAGTTCTCTTAATCTACTGTAGACATTTCTTATTAGTAACATTTTTATTTAATTTTACTTCAATATATGATATGCTATTGAAGTTTATTCCCACAAATACTATGTAAGTTAATTATTAATTTTACTTTCATCGTACTTAATTGGCTTTGATAAATAAAGTTTCAATGTTCGGGATTTATTAGAACATAAAATTTATTGTAAACAATTAAATTACAAATTATATTACAAATTAATTAGAATTATATTACAAATAGTTTATTAACGTAAATCATGCGTTATAATAGGAATTAAAATCAGTTTGGTTGAAATTGTGTTGCTGCTCAAAGTGAAAACTTACCAGCTTTTTCTTATTTTCTCGCAAAAATCTCTAGGTTTTCAAGATTAGCAGCTAGGTTATTGTTATTAGAATATTTCGCCGGAAATATCGCCAAGCAGACTTTGTTAGCGACAGCATACAGTATATACATAAAAAATTTTATTTCTAAGAATTTTTTATTTTGAAGGCATTAACATATTAATATGATTTAAAATTTTGTAAAAAGCTAATAAATAAAGATAATAAATTTGTAAAAAGATATTAATTTAAGAATTTACTATGCTTTCATGGTTCAACATCCTGATTCGCCGGTTCGTATCACGTGACCCCAAGCGATCTCATCTCACGTAAATACGCTACAAAAATATAATTCTCTGAAATTATCTACATTAATTTCAAGTTAAATCTTAAAATGGAATACAAGTTTAAATGCAAGAATTATTTCATGTCGTACGAATAGCTTACTCAGAAATTATGTAAAACCGCAGTGCTTTACTTCGCTAGTGCATTCTCCTTAGAATTGATGAATTTAACCCTTAATTTCTTTTTCCTATATTTTCGCCTTCGGGAGCGGGAGGGAGGGCCTTAGGGCATAAAATTGCCTACCACTTAGAAGCAGTTTCATTTCTGGTGATGAATTTTGGCCAATTATTAATTTATTGGCTTACAGTTACAAGTGTCCGTTTCACTTTTCAGCTTATTATCACCCTGTATTATATATTTAAAGAAATTAAATAACGAAGAATCTATATGAGTGTATGTATGTTTCTCGCATTGTCAAGAAAATAACGGTACCTAGAGCCATACAATTTTGAATAACGTAGTTCTTCACCCGAACATTAGCACCTGGAAGGCAAATTTGAATTTTGAATTTGTTTTACTATCTATTTCATATTTTGTAAAATTTTAACGAATATTTGATTAAGAAACTCAACGATTTCAAAGCGAGCAGTTTCAGCACTCTAAGGAGCAAAAAACATTTTTATCTCCAGTGCGCGAGATAGTCCATCAGAAATTCTAAAGATATACTGTTTTAAAATATTTTGTGGTTTTGCTGTTAAATCGATTTTAGGACGCGCAAGCGTCAAGAACATTATATTTAATAAATAAAGTAAACACACAAAACGTTAATAATTAAAAGACAAAAAAAAAAAAAAAAAGGTGGGAGGATAGTAGGTGCGAGTCTAACAGCAGACTGCGAGCTGAGTGAGAGCGTGAAAAACTTTAACAAACCCTTTTGGGCGACAATAATGTCTGAAATATTTCAGTTTTTTTTAATCGGTTGCCTATAAAAGTTTCTTTTTACTTGGCTTTTCATGGAATGGGGAATTTGATTTTTGAACTTTTAGTATGATAATACTATTATTTATTTGCGTTATTTGAAGCAACACAGTTTTGATGACAACATGAATTTTATTGTGTTTCATTTCTAATCTTATTATTTCTAAATTATGTTTCTAAATATACAATTGATGGGGGTTAAAATAACACTGAAATAACGATTATTAAAGATACTGAAGCAAAAAGAATAAGTATAATTTTCAATTAATTTGTAGTGTATTTCCTTTCGAAGGTTTCAATATATCATTCTTCTTCGGCAGGAGTGAAAACGACAATGGAGAAGCTTGTGTTCACGCGATAACAGTGCGCCAAAGAATTCAAGAAATTTATGTTAAGGGAAAAAAAAGCTGCTGGCGCCATCTATTGATTAAAATGAAAATAACAAACTTAAAGCACTTGAAGTTTGCTCCTACATGTCGATTTTTGGTCAGGAACTAGTCTGCTTTAAAACTGTTGCTATTGCAAAAAGCTTTTCAGTATTATTGGCTAGCGGGTGAAAATTCTTATCTCAAGAATAAAAAGCACGCTCTCGTTTTAAGAGATTATAATAATGTTGTAATCATTCCTTTCTTTCCATCGATTAGTCATAAAATTATACCAATTTTGTAGTCTTCTATCAGTAAAATTCGCAATTTCATACTGAACATATTTTTAGCTAAATCAAATTCTTTTCAAGCTTCCAGACAGACAAAAACGGAAGTAAGTTAATTTTTAATCACTCTATTGAAAAACATTTGCGTACAGTCCAATAAACAAAAAGGTTAAACTTATTTTAATAAGGAATTATCGCATTTCCTTTGTGTTTTCGTCTTGTAACAGGTGGCACATCTAACTAGAAGATCTATGTTTCGAGTCTCGACGAGGCAGAGCCGATTCTTCGTGTTTGTTGTGCATTAAAAGCCTATTGATGTCTAACTGACGCCCGAACTAAAATGTGGTGTAACCCAATTCGTTACTCCCTGGATTTGATAGACTAGGTCTAATCCTTTTCCAAATCCTCCTTTGGAATGAATGCAATAATTCCTTACATCCCCCCATTCCAAATAATTGGGTGCTGTTATGGTGTAACTGGTAGCACATACAGCTGGAAGCAGAAGATTTGTACTTTGAGTTCTAGCGACATCTCATTTTTTACATTTCTGGTTTCAAAAATAATTAGAAAAAGAACCCTAATATTTCTGCATTTTTTTATATATGTTGTCAAACACTGAAAGACGTTTTTATACCGATTTCAAATCTGGTACCGGATGTTCCTGTTTTGGCTGTCATTTTACTGTTTTGGCTGTCATTTTACTTTATAACGCGGTCACATTTATATACATATTCTTTTTCTCGTCACTTCCAGTATGTAATATCTTTAGGAAAATATCAGAATGGAATTTCAAAAAATTAGTTTTATGTGATATGTTAATCACAATACTTCAAAAGAATTGCATTGCTTAAGTAACAGAACTTTCATATCGTTGCCACAAAATAAAACTTAATGGTTAAAATTAAGAAAATATATTGTTGACTGTGTCTTAATCCAAAAGGCAATTCCAGAGATGATATAATTCACTAGAAAGCCTGGCGGTCCTACGAAATGACCGCTGTTCTAGATATTATAAATTGTAATTAAAATTATTTCTGCAAAGGTGTCTGCTAATTCAACCTGAATTACCCAGGACAGGTGGCGAGGACGCCCCTTTGCTTACTGCACCACGGGGTTTCCCCCTTCTACTTGCTTAATTGCTTAAAGTACAGTGCAATGAAGAAAACCACCATGGCGGTACATTTCTTAAGAGCCACCGCTAGCTCAATAATTAAAGTTGAAAGATCATGTCACAGGTCAAAGACCTCTTTGTACACAACATTTCTTGTGTAGATCTTTCCATCATTTTTAAGCTCGCCTTGCAGAGGACCATCGATTATTTTTACTTTTACGTCCGTTCTTTCACGAACTCTTGAACACGCAACATAAAGTTGACCGTGTCCAAATGCAGGCTCAGGTAAAAAAATGCCAGTACGCTTAAGCGTTTGGCCCTGAGACTTATTGATGGTCATAGCAAAAGCACGTTTTACAGGAAACTGTCTACGTCTCAATTGAAACGGCAACCCTGTTTGAGATGGAGCCAAATCAATTCTTGGAATGACACGTATTTCACCTTTAGAGGAGCCAGTCAAAGACTTAGCTATTATTACATTATTTCTCAATTGGAGAACCTCTAGTCTTGTACCATTGCAAAGACCCCTTCTGGTGTTAAGATTTCTTAACAGCATAATAATTGATCCAATCTCTAACCTCAATTTGTGAGGTGGCATGCCAGAAGGCGACAGACTATTTAAAAATTCCGTTGGAAAGTTGTTGGCACTCGCTTTATTGTCAGCTACAACAGAGACAACACTTAAATATGTCGTGTCGTTCCCTTCTATGATATTTAAGACATCATCATTTAGTTTGTCTACATCAGAATTTTTAGGACACAATATTGCCCTTTCACTAATTTCACTGGTGTTTCCAGGCTGGATTTTATTACCCCAGTTCACTAAACTATCTTTGCATATCATTGACAAAGGAATCTCGACAACGTCTTCACTCAATCCATTATTATCAGAAAGAGTTCCATTTCCAAATTTTAAAAGCCACTCACTATACTCGGGGTCATTTGACCTCATGTTCATTGTCAGTGGGAGTTTCTTAAATAAATCCCTTGATTTTGCAAATTGCATGCTATTTTGTATTATTGCGGCTTGTAGAGCATGAGGCAATACTGATAGACATTGTCTAAAGTCACCTCCAAAAAGCAAAACTTTTCCTCCAAATGGATAATAATTTTTCATGATTTCTTTTAACAACCTGTCAGTTGTATCCAAAACATGGTTTGAAGTCATGGTACATTCGTCAATTATTATGAGCTTTGCTTCTCTTAAAAGCTTTGCTTTGTCAGTATTTAATTTAATATTAGATACTGAAGTTTCATTTAATGGAATTGGTAATCCAAAAAGACTGTGTATTGTCTTTCCATCAAGTAATAAATTTGCGGCTACGCCTGTCGTAGCAGCAGAGAGGACAGAAATTTGTTTTCTTCTGCAATACCTCAACAGAGTTGTATAAAGATATGTTTTTCCAGATCCTCCAGGACCATCAAGAAAAAACAGTTTGCCGCTATTGATTGGAGCATCTAAAGCAGTTAAAATAAAATCATACGCTGACCTCTGTTGAGCATTAAGAGTCTCTTTATCTCCTTCTGCAAGTGCCAGCTTTTCCTCCAGATCATATTGATTTTCTTGCATAGCAAGATCAGCAGGAGGATCTTTTAAGCCAAAGCTTGAACATTTTAAAGAGTGTTCTTGCAAAACACTCTGCACTTCAAGAAGCGCAAAAGTTTCACAATTAAGATGTGGCAAATGTTCATTATTAGGATGGATTTTATGGCAAAAACTTTCCATCATGTGTTGCCTGAACTGATTCCATAATTCAGCATGCTGAAGGAAATCATCGGCAATTTGCATATATTTGCAAAAAGATGGCAAAGCTGCCTTGAATTCAAAAATTCTTTAGCTTCATCTAGGGTTGTTTTCCCCAACTGGTCATTTTTTAAAAGACCGCGAGCCTTTGCCGCTTCATAAAAAGTCGAATATTCCACTTCATTAAATTAAAGGTATTCAAAAGAAGTCTAAAAGAAGACATCTAAAAGAAGAAGCCGTAAACAATAGCGTTCTTTATCAGCTGGATTGGCAATGTACATTCTTCCGATTACTTTGTCTCCGCCACGTTGGCGCCGGCACCAATTTCCTGGTGCTTTTGTATTGTATACAAAATGTTCAGGGATATCACGAAATCACGATAGTAATATTCTTTAGCTTCATCATTGTGCTCATTAAGTTCAAACCAAGCAGTCAAATTTGTGTGGTTATTTGCTGCTCTTTGAACAGCTCCTTCTAAATCTTCAGGATTGAAGCACACATACTGTTCCATCAGGCAAATGCACTTGTAATCTGTAAATTGTATGACTCTGATAGTGCATACTGAAACCAAATATTCGCCATGCCGCCTCGGGGGCGCTAACAAATTCCACAACAATAATCCACAAATTTACAAATCTCATCCTGAGTTTGATTTCTCAGTTCAACTCGTGTACAGTCATGTCCTTTATAAATGTATTTATAAAGGTATTTGACACTTTGAATAGAAGCACAAACTTCTACGTTTATATGGCAATTGTATTTTAAAAGTAAATAAAGATTGTGTGGCACAATCCACGAATTATCTATTACTTTATTACCAATTATTGTAGGCTCCGTCCTTCTACGTCTGTATTTTGGATATCCATTCACATCTTTATTTGTGAAGGCAACAAATGCTTTAGGAATCTCCTTTTTACATTTGCCATTTTCCATGCAGACGCAGTTTGGGTTTATTAATCTACACGGACCGTGAATCATGTGCTTTGTTACAATTTCAAAAAGGCTTGGCGAATTGATTTTGTCTGGAATTTCTGCACAGACAAATCTGTCAATGTCAGCCTCACTTTTAAACTTTGATTCACTGTCTAAAATTATTAAAATGTGGCAGTGGGGCAGTCCCCTTTTTTGAAACTCAATGACATATTTGGACTTTGCCAAAGATTCCGTCTTTTAAATCTTTTAATAGGGATTTTAACTTAATGTTAAAAACCCTTGCTACAATATCAGGTCTATTAGTATCTGTTTGACCATCCTTCAAATTCTTCTGGATGTCATCCCAATTTGGATTGCATGTCATTGTAACAAAAAGGTCTGGCTTACCAAAGTTTGTAACAATAGACATTGCATCTTAAAATCTTTTTTGCATGTTCCTGGGACTGCCTTCAAAGAAGATGGTAAAACTCTTTTTCCGAGGAACTTCAGTGTCTTCTCCAATTAAGTAGTCAGAGAGACCATTGTATTTTTCAGTTCTAAGATCTTTTTGGTGAGTTCTAATGTAGTAAAGCCGCCCAGATTCCATTCGACAATACCAATCAACAAAGAGTTGCTGAGTTAGTTTTCCTGCCATTATAAGCGGATTAAAGTTGTCTCGAACTGACAAAATATAGCTATAAAATTCCATTTCTGAAATTGGCGATCTATTTTTTTCCAGAATTATTTAAGCCAAGTTTAGGCTTCCAGCATTGCTCTCCTCGTGGAAAAGTAAAGGATACATCATTGGGTCTAGATTTGGATCCCATGTGCTGATTCGTTTTAATTCAATTTGTCCAGGTTAAGCCTTTGGGTAAATTATTAAATCTCGCTCATGTGGTGGCTCTCCATCAGTGTTTTCAAATATGATAGCCACCTCGTTGGCTTGCTGGACATTATACCGCCTTTGATCTAAGTTACGATCACAGACAATGGCCATGGCAATGCTAATTACTGGCTCATTGCTTGCTATAACATTAGAGGCCAACTTTTTTTCAACTTCGTGCATCATTTTATATGCAGAAACAAATGGGTTAATGTCTTGAAATAATTCCCTCATTTCATTAAGTAAGGTCTCAGGAACTCTTTTATTCCATTCTAAACGTGCCGAACTGGCTTCTGAGGGATCAAGTATATATAATTGAGCAAACTTTCTTTTCCCGTCAGAAGGATGCAAAGTTCCAGTTTGATGGTAAATCTTGACCATGAAGTCGAAAGCAATACAGTCCTGGTCCAGGCAAGTCAATTGGTTTGTTTCCCATGGACGCAAAAGCAAACGAACTATTAATGGATCGAATGCTATCCATGTACTGTTTGCTATTTGGATGCTGATTAGTCAATAATTTATTTAAGAGTGGTGGATAATTCTCAATTAGTGGAACTACAATGTTTCCGTACTTGCAACATTGAGAAAATCCTTTCTTGCCACTGTCAAATCGATTAGCTTCTAACTTGAAGTTTAAGGACTGACAGTGTTCGCATTTAATATTCTTGTCACCACAGGAATGCTCAAAAATTAAAGTTTATCCGTTTGAAACTGTTTTAATCTTTTTTGCCTTTCGGTCAGCATTACTCTGTCGTTTTTTTTTTTTTTTTTTTTTTTTTTTTTTTTTTTTTTTTTTTTGCATTTCTCTTCTCCTTTTGTTCAAAGGACTCATTTTGTCGAGAAAGGCGCATTTGCTCTGCGACTGAAACAAACTTTGTTTTTCTTTGCTCAGTGGTTCCTTTTTGTCGAGAAAGCCGTTTTTGTGCAGCTTTAGCTCTTTTTCTCCCCTCTTCAGTGCTGCATTTTCTAGGAGGCATTCAAATTACGTTAAGAAGCAGTTTTCATATAAAACAGATGATTGTCAATGTAAACAACTGTTCACGTTTCCCCTAACACTCTCAATTTGCGTTCAGCTGAAAATTCAGTTTAAAATACAAAAAGAGATTTAATAATTTTAAAGGAAAATGCATTTATTGGCAACATGGTATTGTATTTCAAATCTAGTTTTGGCAACAATAAAAGAAAATCATGAACGTGGATTTAAAAATCATGAACGTGGATTTAAAAATCATGAACGTGGATTTGAAAATCAAATGTTTGAGAAACCATTGGCTAGTACCTTTACGCAAGCAACCAATGAACTATCGGCGACACACACTTTAGCCGCTTATAAAGATGTTAACATACATTCAGAAATTCATCAAGAGTCTAACATACAGATATTTGGACCTTATAAAGGCAAAGAATAGTCAGCCGAAACCCTATGAGTATAATTGTTTTACCTTTTCATTTGCAGAACCATCTAATTAGCCTACTGGATTTAATTTTCATACTGTTATAATACTACTTTGTTCAACGTAGCCATTAGCTCCAATTTACTAATGACATCAAAAATTACTCAATTCAATCTAACTTTTATTGAAAACATATCATGTCTTATAAATATTTTTCTGTATTCTGGTTCTCTTATTTTGGATTGGTAATCTTCTTTGGTATTCTGGTTCTCTTACTTTGGATTGGTAATCTTCTGTATTGTGGTGTTCTCATTGTGAGCTGTTTCTTTTCAGTGAAAAAAGAATCTACGAAAACCTATAATTCTTAGAAGCTTTCTTCCTTTGAAAATCGTTCCTTTGCTCCGAAATAAAACGACTGAGTTTCACACACACACACACACACACACAGAAAAAAAAAAAAAAAAATGCCTATTTTCCCTTTTCTTGAATACTTGAAAGGACCCTCATCGTTTTCCAGTTCGTTAGCGTAATTTAATTTACCACCCGTTCTATTCATGTAGGATGATGGATGGCAAATGGAAAAATTCCGCTAACAAGATTTAAACGCTTTTTTCGAAGAAAACAATAATACGCTTGGACTTGCTAATAGTTACTACTGCATTCTGAATATGAGTGGTTTTTTTTTTTTTTTTTTTTTTTTCCTTTAGCCTGTGATAAAGTTAACAAAATTTGTTCTTATTCACCGAATTTCTGAATTAATGCAATTTTTCAAACTTCTATCTATCTTATGATTATTTGAAACTAACAACTCAGGAGTCTTGAAATAACCACAATTTATCATTCCAGAGCATACCCCTATATTTAAATTTAATATACTGTTGCGAAATGCCAAGGAGATAGCTAAACCGCGGGCCAGATATTGGCAGGTAAGGGCAGGATTGCCAGATTGCGTTCTAAAAGTTCGTGGATTTATAGAAATTGACGATAATATTTGATGAAGATTCAAAACACAATTTATTCGCCAGTATCACACAGGACAGTTCCAAAGACACATTTACAGTAGTTGAAAAACTACGATAAACACATTGAAACAATCAGCAGCACAGGCTTCAGGCTATAACGGTAACGACAGCTTCACAGCAAAGCACTAAAGTACAGCTTCCGACCCGGTCGATCGCTCTCACGCTAATCTCTGAACTCAAAACACTACTACTCTCTCGCAGGACAGGCAGGGTATGTATAACTTTAACCTGCCTTTAAGCACTAAAGTACAGCTTCCGACCCGGTCGATCGCTCTCACGCTAATCTCTGAACTCAAAACACTACTACTCTCTCGCAGGACAGGCAGGGTATGTATAACTTTAACCTGCCTTTAAGAATATTCTGGAGAAAACCGCTAAGATTGCGTTGTAGAATGTTCTCGCTCCGTCTATGGCCTGCCGCCAATTTTGTCGTCAAACATCGCCCCCAAATCTGGCAACCCTGACTTTCCTTTACACTTTCTAGCAACCCTAACTCCGCTTTGCGGAACGTATCTCACCGCAGCTGGGCATTTCTAACGAGTATAAATACTTTTTAATTTTGATAAATTAGGTTTTTGTTTATTCCATTTTTCTAGTGCTGTTGTACTGACTGCGTTTGCAGGGCTATTGTATAACAAATAAGCTACAGTTCAAAGAGTTCCTCACCATGTCTCTTTTCTCTTAGCAAGGCTCTTTTTTTTTTTTTTTTTCTAGTAACGTTTAATTAATTTTTACTGTTTCTCCATTTACTTGTGGTGGATGGAAGACGAACTGTATATCAGAAATAATTCCTTTGTTTTCACAGAAACTTTTTAAATATCCATTAATAAATTC